TTTTAAAAATACAAAAAACAAAAATTAATGCAATTGATCTTCATAATAATATAATAACATCCAAAGCACCAATATGAAAAAAAAAAAAATCAAAACAAAAATTTAAAAGCACTAATCCAAACTCAAAAACAAAATCTACTATATTAATAAGAGCCCACCTATAATGGATAGAGAAAATGGCGGTCAAATTTTTTAATCAAATTAATGGCTCAGATTGATCAGATTTTAATTTTTCCTTGAGATTTACTAATTTATCCTTAATGAATATGATTATCCGTTAACTTTTCCGTTAAATATTATCTTTTCCGTTAATTTCTGTTAGTTCATCATTAACTTACTCATTGATTTAAATAAGAAAGGTCTTAGGTTCGAACCACATTCCAATCAAAGTTGACATAATTAGTACTCTATTTTACTCTTATTAAGTTAAAAATAATAATTTAGTAGCTACAACAAAAAATAATACATATGCATTTCTTTAATTTAGAATTATGTGTCTACAATGCCTTTATTCAAAAAAAAATTATTCATTATCAATAAATTAAATTAGAGAAATAATTTCATTACTTATATTGTCTTTATTTTTCTCCAATATAAAAATTCTTTATATTCAAAATTCAAATTCATCAATTGATTATATTCGCTACATTGTTTCTACAATGTCTTTATTAAAAAAAAAAAATTATTCATTATCAATAAATTAATTAAGAGAAATAATTTCATTAGTATATTGTCTTTATTTTTCTCTAATGTAAAATTTCTTCACATTCAAATTCATCAATTGATTATATTCACTACATTGTTTATTATCATTTTTTTTGTGCACTATTTTTTAATTAAATATCAAAGTTATAATACAAAATAATGATATATATATTTATTTACCAAGTATTTTATTAATACCATGAAAATTTTTTAAAAAATTAAATTAATAAAGCCAATCATATTAACTACTTGAGAGATTTGTTGACAAAGAGAGTACTCAAATCACACAACAAATTGAAGTGAGAAACTATCTCGCAATATCCTTGTTTGACAATCAGCAGTTAGCGTTAGCGGATTATATTAGCGAATTTGACTAGCGAATTATATCAACAGTTGGTAAAAAGATATTTGAAAAAATTAACTTTTAAAATTAACATTTAAAATGACCTAAGGGTATAATAATAATAATAATAATAATAATAATAATAATAATAATAATAATAATAATAATAATAATAATTGTTTTAATAATAATTTTTTTAAAAATATAGATGTGTTTTGGAAAAATCATTCTAAAAACGCTAAGTGAAAATATTGTAAATTGAAATGCTTGTATTTTTAGTGGTTCGGAACAAATTATTGCTTCAAACTGTTGAATAACTAAAACACTTTGTTTAGCATTTTGATCTTTGGGTTACATCATATTTACCAATCGTCCAATATCTTTGGGTTACATTATAATTAAAAATTTTAAATTTTTACTACATCTAAATTCCTTAAATTAGGAACTTCTTTATCCATAATAATTTATTCAACAATAATGGTTGAACTAAATGAACACTGAGCAAATCACCTAAAGGACTGGTACTGTTGAGTCATTCATTGATCTTTTATATATTCACATTTATTATATATATATATATATATATATATATATATATATATATATATATATATATATATATATTAGAACCCTTTGCGACAAAAATACTTGGTTACTATTTTAAATTTTTTTAGTAATAATTATAATGAATCTCCTATATTACATTGTATTCATATACTGTAAAGTACATATTTAAATAAACAAATTAGACATTAAATTACTTATGTTGAACTTCTCATATATAATCTTGCATTGATATACTTTCAAATATTTATTTAATTATAAACATTGGGTAGAAAAAATGACCAAAACAAATGAATAGTTCAGATTGTTCAGATTTTTATTTTTCCTCGAGATTTCCTAATTTATCCTTAATTATATAATTATTCGATCCGTTAACTTTTCCATTAAGTACTGTTCACCGTTAGTCTAATTCTAATATTAAAGTCTAATATAGAATTATAACTACAACATTAATCTAATCTAATTCTAATATTAAAGTCTTAATAGAACTCTAACCACAAATCGACTAATTATGCTGTGAGCACGTGCCCACCTTGCAAGGTGGGCACGGTTCCATATCCATAATTTCTATACTGTAGATTCATAATTTCTATATTGTATATCCATATTTTCTATACTGTAGATTTATAAAATTTATACTTTAGATTCCAATTGTTGAACTCTGTTTTCACAGATTAGAGAACTATATGTTCATAATTGATAACTATACAGTTTAGAAATTATGAATTTACAGTACAGAAATTATGAATCTACAGTACATATATTATGAATCTGCAGTATAGAAATTATGAATCTACTGTATAGAAATTATGAATCTACTGTATTTAAATTTTGAATCTACGGTTTAGAAATTATGAATCTAAAGTATAGAAATTATGGATCTACAATATAGAAATTATGAATCTACAATATAAAAAATATGGATTTGGAACCGTGCCCACCTTGCAATGTCCTTGTTTGACAATTAGCAGTTAGCTGTTAGCGTTAGTGGATTATATTAGCGGATTTGACCAGCGAATTATATCAACGGTGGGTAAAAAGATATTTGAAAAATTAGCCGTTTAGATTAACATGTAAAATGACCTAAGGGTATATATATATATTTAATAATAATAATAATTGTTTTAAAAAAATAAAAAATATATAATTAAGCCAATCATATTAACTACTTGGGGGATTTATTGACAAAAGAGTATTCAAATCACACAATAAATTGAAGTGGAAAACTAACTCGCAATGTCCTTATTTGGCAATCAGCAGTTAGCTCTTCAATATTAGTATATATTTAATTTTAATATTTTATACCCTAATTTTATTTGCTCTCCCTTATGTCCCATATTTGACTTCAACCATACATATACAATTATTTTATTGACAATTATAATCAATCTTGACTATATTATCTTGCATTTGTAAACTTAGAATTACTTATTTAAATATGCAAATTCAACATTCAATTATCTATGCATGAACAATTCCAATATAATTTTGTCTTGATATACTTTAAAGTACTTATTTTTTTAAAAAAAATTGGACATTATCCCAATCGCGCAATGTGCGTAAAAGACTAGTTATAAATATAAGATAGAATGATACAGTTTTTAACTAAGGAATAAGATTTTAATTGAAGGGATAATCAAATATCATTTTTCAAATAACTATGATTTTGATTGTAATTTCTAATTTGTAAACCCCCATTGACCAAAGACACCCTAAATCAGTAAATTGTATGAATAAAAAATGAACATACGATTCTGGTTGTACCTAATATTCTAACAGTCTGCTTCTTCCATCGATCACTTCTCTTCAGTCCTCTCGATTTCAATCCATCGGAGATAGAAGGCGGTCAGCGGCCACAAGTTCTGGTAACATCATTTTCCTTTTCTCTTTTCTCTCCACTTCGAACAACAAGTTTAAATTTTCTTTGAATTTGTAGCTTTTCAGGAGAATAGTATCACCTTCTCGGTTGCCTTGATTATATTCTTCTTCATTCTTTCCCATGTCTGTTGATTTGTAGTCAAAATTCAATCTTGGGTCTGGGGTTCACAACTTTTCGATTGACATTCTTTATTGTAGTCCAAGTGTTTGTTTGAAATCCTTGTCGAGAGAGAATGAGGAATAAGCCTTTGAAGTTTTACTGGAATTCTAAGATTACTCATAATGTTCACATCTGTATTTTTCATATACTTGCGTATATGTTGAATGTATCTGAATGAGTAGAATTTTCCAATAGTAATATTGTGTAATCAACCATATAGATTGAGTGATTAGGTTAGAACTTGTTACTGACTTGGATTAAAATGTGTAATAAGCTGTTTTGTTACTCTTTATAATTGAAAGATGTGAGTTAGTCATCATTATAACTGACTTCTTTTAATGGTAATCTGTGATTTTTTTACCACTTTTGTAACCTATTTGTTTGATACTTTGAGTATTTGACTCCGGGCTGCTTATTTTGAATGTTGTGTAAGAGAATGATTGTTAAGCATAGCCTTTGGTAAAGAATTTGAATGTGTATTATAAGTTTGTATTCTGGAGATAACTTGCTTGGAGATCTAAGCTAGTGAGAAGTTTGGATTCACAACCTGACATGCTTTTGTAGAAAAGTAACAATAGAATTATAGAAATTTGATTAGAGTATGAAGTTCTATTCACTTCCATGTTACTGAAAATGCATGTTATACAACATATATGATTAAGATATTAGTTACACACATTTCTGCTGAGGCCTCTTCCTTTTTAAGCCATTATCATTTATGCGTAACAAAGTTTCTCCTTGTAAGAAATTGAAACTAAATAATAGATCTTCTTTGTTATGTTGTGTGCTGTATTCTTAGTAAATGTAGATACCTTCAATTATATTGCTTTACAATGCATTTGTGAATTTCTCCAAATAAGTTCCAGTATGATAGCATGAATGAAGTTGGCAACTCTAAGGTTTACTTTTGTTCTCTACAACTCAACTTTAAGAATGTTCTAATTTTCTCTTGGGCCTTTTCTTTTTAAATTTTGGTCTGAGGTCAATTGACCTGTAGTTGTTTTGTGCATAAGAAGTTTAGTTTTGGAGCACTTTTGGCTTCATTTGCTTCCCTTATTGGACACACCTCTTCTTGCCAAGTATAATTATTCCCACTCTTATTGCGCAGTTTAACCTGTAAATTAGTTTACACTACTCGTACTACTATGGTTCTAACCTACTTTATTATACCATGAGATGCATAAATATATGAATGTCACTCTGCATTTTTCTTGTATCTTGTTTGGATAAATTTACAGCAAATATAGGCATTGTGTCTAGACTTTAATGTGTTTAATTTCTCAAAATATTGAGTAAAGATGATGATATTTCGACAATATATTTACTACTACTGTGCACTGTGCCATGCAGCTTATTATCTCTAATGGATGCCATGGACCACAAAGATGAGGTGAAAAATGCAGACAGCATGCAGCAAGTAAAAGAGAGTACATATATTCAGATAAAAGTTCTGTTCTTTGCTCGTGCTAGAGACCTTACAGGCTTGGACGATATGCCTCTGGAAGTTTTATCTGGCAGTACCGCCCAAGATTGCTTAGATAAGGTTATTGCCAAGTTTCCGGGATTGCAAGAGATACGCAAATGCATGGTCCTTGCCTTGAACTTGGAGTACACCCCGGAATCTACAGTCGTCAAAGATAGAGATGAGCTCGCCATTATCCCTCCTATAAGTGGAGGTTAGACATTCCAAGCCCCCCCTATATATTGTAAATGTTTGTAATGAAGGCTCTGGAAGTTACACATTTTGGTAGCATCAATCATACAGATTGCTACAATTATAATAAGTGCCATCTGCAACAAAACTCGACCATGCAGTTGATATGTATGTTGTTTCTTGACAGTATAATATTTCTCTTTTCCCTATCTCCATCTGTAATATCGCCAACGTTGAGCTGATGAAATCATATGAATTATTATTAATATTTGGCTATTTTCGGTAATAAATTTTATTATTGCTTTAAATCTTACTTCATATCTGCCCTAATACATTGGCTTAACCATAACCATGGGAGTAATGGTTACCATTTTGAGGGCATTTTTATTTATCTATTTATTTTGGCTATATAAAAATTTAGGTGACAAGAGACTAACTCAATTCAAGGTGATAGGACTTGCTGTGCTAACAATAGAGAGCTCTGTTTGTGATGCCATTATCCAGGATGCTGATGAGATTGCAGGTAAAGGGGACATAAGACACCAATTGTTATACCATGGACCAGGGTTCATAATGCATTGTGAATCCTGATACAAAATTCTGTACCTTCAGTTAACACATTCTGTACCTATAGTTAACAGTTTCTGTACATGTAAACGAATAACTTGATAATTGCTGACACATAATATGATAGCTATAGGTACAAAAACTATCAACTACAGGTACAAAATGTGTCAACTATAGATATAGAATCTGACTTAATAATTGCTTACACATAATATGATAGCTATAGGTACAGAAACTATCAACTGCAGGTACAGAATGTGTCAACTATAGATATAGAATCTGACTTGATAATTGCTGACACATAATATGATAGCTACAGGTACAAAAACTATCAACTACAGGTACGGAATGTGTCAACTATAGATACAGAATCTGAAGGTTATTTTTGGACTGGTCTACAATGCAAGGTAGACCCTGGTCCATGGTATAATTTGCCATCAGATACCTGTTAGACACTGAGAAATGGAGTTCCCATAGGTCTTACAATGGGGCTTTCCTGAACCACCCAAGTTTCTGTTCAGGGACAACCTGATGACTTGTATTGGTAAATTTGTGTGCATATCAACCCATATAATGCCAGAGGACAACATTATCTTGAATGTTTTATCTGCAACTGAGTCTTTGAATACATTAGGATGTCCCAGAAAATGGACAAGATACAGGGGAAAGAACACTGGGGAGCTGTAACCAAAGTTGATCTAGCTCCTGAAGAAGGGCTTCTTTAAAAGGTTACAGCAAATAATTTTGTAGTGCGCAGATACATGTGTCAGGAATCATGCACCTCAATCATAGGAAGATGAAAAAGATGCCTCTTGGAAAGAAGAAGCCAGGCTCTTTGCAACTCATGCATTGCTCTCGGTTATTACCAAGTCTATGGTAAGTGTTCCTGCTTTGGCTGAAAAACTGGTACTCAATTGAAATTAACTTGATATCCAAGTGCTTGACCACCAAATTCATCCTGTGAATGATTTTGATGACAAGCTTTCTGCAAAATTGTCTGAGCTCAAACACTTGCCAAAGAATTTGACAACAGCTCAGGCAATGACAGCAGTACTATATTTTCCTGAGTTCCTCTGGGATCGTTATCGTGAGAGGGGAGTTTAATGAATAACAAGAGGAGAAGAAGGATGTTGGAAACGTTGAACGAATACTCTTCCAATCCCTTGGGATCGTTATCATGAGAGGGGACTATATATAGAATTGTTTGTCTGTAAGCTTTGTAGGCTAATGGAGGAATCAAAACAGATGGTTGAGAATATAATTGAGAGAGTTGATTATCAGAGGATCAGTTGCTAGTTAAGTTTGTTAATAACACTTCACTTTGCTCTTCTGTTTTTGATATTTGTTTCAAGATTCTTCCAGTTTTCAGAATTTTCTTTACTTTTCCTAAAATGGCAAGCTGTGATAGTGATGGAAAAACACTTCTTGATATATGCTTCTACAAAACATGCATATGAGTTGAATGAACCAAGGGTTAGGGTTTGGGAGCTTAAACCCAAAGTAGTTTTGAATGGTCTTTAATTTTTCACAGGTAATTTGTATCATGGACCAGAGTTCACATAGCATTATGGACCCTGGATCAAAATGAATTGCATAAATCTGTATAACCTATTAAAGCACAAAAGTCAATACCGTCTTCACTAGAACTCAAACTCATGACCTCTGGTTCACATAGCATTATTGACCCTGGATCAAACGAAAAGTAAACATCAATATTGGTAATCATTCAAATTTCACTATACTGCCAAACATGCAAATTACTTTCACCAAAACTCATTACTATTACCAAGTATTTGATTCACATTCCGATTCCGATTTTCATGTGGGAACCGAACACACCCATAGTTTATGGTCAACTAGAGCTCTCTAGATTAAACTTCTTGTTTCTTGTTAGTTTCCAAAACATCATTTCTAAGCATTAGTTAATCGCTCTAATGTTGAAATATTTTTGTTCAAAAGCATAAAGATTCTTATGCTTCTAACCTACCCAAATCAAGTTTCTAGGTAATTAAAGTGATAGGGATTAACAAGCTTAAAGAAATGAAAAATAACAATTTAACTCAATAAAATTTTTATTTATCAATTTTGTTATAATTCAATAATTTTACATCACAAATAAAACAGCAAGTGTTAAGAGAACTTTATGTTTAAATTTGAAAAAAAAAAAAAAAATCGTCTTTCTCCTATGGTTGCCACTCTCTGTTCCTAATTACCCCACAAGAAAAAGATTTATGCATGACGACTGATTTGCATTAAAGTACCATAATTGTGTTTAGGCGATAAGGATGGTGGCTTTGATGAGAGAAATAGAGAATGGTGTATGCTTTTAGCCTCGCTGCAACACTAATGAATAAATAAAATAATAAGTAACTAAAACCAACAAATCAGAGTGGCGCAGCGGAAGCGTGGTGGGCCCATAACCCACAGGTCCCAGGATCGAAACCTGGCTCTGATAAGAGTGGCTACCAAAATTGTTTTGCTTCCATGACAATAATTAAACTAGATAATTCAGTTTTCGGGGAGAAGTGTTCCACGGTTGGGGATGTAGCTCAAATGGTAGAGCACTCACTTTGCATGCGAGATGCACGGGGTTCAATACCCCGCATCTCCAAAGTGGGTTTACAATTTGTGACCTGATTTTAGGTGAATGTGTACATGTTTAGGGTTTTAGAATACTATTCATCTAAAATCTAACTTGACCAACTATTTTAATAAATTGAGGTTCGATCCCCCTCATCTCCAAAATCGTTTATATTGTGACTTGATTTTTGGTGAATGTAATAATGTATACATATTTAGGGTTTTAATACAAGAGTTCTACTACATGTGCTCTCAAATCTTACTCCCTTAATTTTACTCTCTGATGTGCAAGGATGGAGTCAGAAAGTCTGGATTAGACGGGCTAAATTTATCATGTTAGTCGACATTAGTACCAACAATATAATATTATTATATATACCATACATGATTGTGTCGATTATTATTGATAATTATTTTTATTTATACTATGTGCAATAATATATGAAATGTAAAATTATATGAGTACGATTGTTAAGGTTGTCAAACATTACTTTCAAATTTTTCACATAACACAAAATATATATAATAGTAAAAAGTAAGGAAATTATAATTTTTATCACTAAGTTATAGGGTAATTGTAGAATTCGTCTCTAATTGTTGGTCGTTCTCACTTTTCGTTCCTAAGATATACTCTGTAATTGATGTTGCAAATTTCGTTCTTTTACTAACAAAACATTAGGGATGAAATTTGCAATGTTAGTATAGCTTAGGGACGAAGATTGAGCACAACCTGTTATTAAAATGATGAAATTTGTGACGACAATTATAGCTCAGGGGCAAAAATTGAGCATGACTAACAATTATGAATGAATTCTACAATTACCCTATAACTCATGGACGAAAATTGAATTTTTTCTCAAACAATATTTACATTTATTTAAATATGCATTGTCACTCTTTTATCAAATAAAAAGTTATCAATTGTTTGGTCAACAACAACTTTTTTGATAATAAATTGATATTCATTTTACTGATTAATTAAATATATATTTCAAAATTTAAGGGATGAAGACGGAAACCAATATCACGAAATAAACAATCATTATTAATTTTTGTAAATTTCAAAACTAATCATTTAACCTAGCAAATTTATATCCTAACAGTCTAAATAAATAATAAACACACAATAAGTTATCAATTAATTAATCAACTAATAAAACCAAAACATATATACCTCAAATTTTCAGAGTAATGAAATTAAATTAGATACGTAATGCCCTCCATTATTGAAATCTTGACAAAAGAAATAAACTAATTAATAAAGAGTTAAAAGCCTTGTGATCAAATGGCATAGTTGTGACTTCTCAAGTGAGAGGTCTTAGGTTTGAACCCTATTATCAATGAATAGATATTATATATATTGCAATAGAATCATTTGATTTATTTACTTTCACTTAATAAATTTAGTTTTTAATATATACATAATAGATTAAAAAGAAAAATATGAGGGGCCAAAATTAGGGGGTGGGGGCTAAGGCCCCCTACCCCAAAGGGTGGCTTCGCCCTTGCAAATGTGACAGACTCTGATAAACTATTTTTTTCATTTATGTGGATTCCAATACAAATGTATAGATCAAAATTTAGTGTGTGAGAGTAAAAGTTGAGAGTATAAAATGGGAGTCTACATAGTATTTTTCTTAATACAATTCATCTAAAATCTAACTTGACCCACTATTTTAATAAATTATTATATATATATATATATATATATATATATATATAATATATATATATATATATATATATATATTAGTAGTTTATACGCACAATGTACAAAAATATATGCCAAATATTAATACTCAATATAAAAATATTTTTTTAAAAACAAAATTCATAATTGTAGAATTTATATTATATTAAAAGTGTAGTTGATAATTTGAGTAATAATTATGGTATAATTAATATTATTAAAGTAAGAATTTTAGATCTGATAAATTACTAAATATAATTCCAGTAACATTTAATTAAAATCTAAATGAAATCAAACTTATTTCGTTTTCAAAAAAAAAAAAAATTTATTTAATTTCTTATAAAATCTACAATATATAATGTATACATACATATTACCATTGAATGAAGTTAATTCCATTTTTAGTCCTAGATTTATATGTGGTAATTCACTTTTAGTTTTTTTTTTTTTTTTTTTTTTTGAATATCATCATTTGGTCCTAGTATTATTGTGACATCATCATTTTTAGTTATCTGTCAACAAAATCGATGAAATGTCGTTAAATACAAAGACATTTTGATTTTTTTTATACAAAGTAAGTTGACCATTTTTTATGTTTATCTTTTTGAAAAAATTCATAATTGAAGACGGAGATGTCATTGTATATAACGATATTTAAACTGTTTTGCGGATAAAAGAAAAAAAATGGTCATGCCACAGTAAACCAGAAGTGGATGTTCCGATAAAAAAGGACTTAAAGTGGATTACCACCTATAAATCTTAGATAAAAAATGGAATTAACTCTCATTGAATAAAAAAAAAAATATTGTGTATGCATGTGCATGGTAACAATAATGAGAAAAGATAACATAAGTTATAAACTTATTGATATTTTTTGTCCAAAAATTTGTATAGTACAAATTTTATAGCATAATGTATAATTTTTTTTTTAACAAAACAGACACAAATAAGATATATAACTTAGATTGAAACTTATTTTATATAATATATATAGATCAAATGTGATTTAAGCCCTAGGTAGCTTTTAGTTGACTGACCGACTAATTGCCCGATTAGGCGTCGACTTGGCCGAGTTAGGCGCCTAAATCGACTGAGTTGGTGTCCAACTCGGCCGGCCGAGTAATTTTTTTTGCCTGCTCGGCTACTCCTCTTTTATATTTCTCCAGTCATGTACTCAACTAACCATCTGACATATGTAATTGACTAGTTTAGGGATTATAACAGTCTAATAACTCCTAACTAGTCAATTACATATGTCACCGACTCAGTGACAATATAATCAGATTACTCGACTGCCTAGGCGCCCGTCTAGCGCCTAACGCTTTCTGCAACATTGATCTGCATGTGATAATCTAATAATAGTATGCACAATGAATAAACAATAAGACACTAGATTGTAAATAGCTTTCAAATGGTACAAAAGTCTGCCAAGTTTTCATTGAAGTTGATCTCCATAGGTATAGGGTAGACACATTATACAAGCACAAAACATTACCATACAATATGAGATGAGACTAGACATGAAATCATAATTCCTGCAGGCAGTGTATGTAGCATTTCCCAACATTTACATCCTCCTATATCAAAGCCATTACAGGCCACGGAATAACTCCGGCTGCTGGTAACTGTGGTCGGATCACAGGGGCCCGCTTCACAACCGAAAATGCTTCATTAAGGCGTGCAGCACGGCTCATGAACTGAGATACCTTCTGTCCATGCAAAGTAGAGTAGTTAATAAAAATTCTCAGACTTACTTCCTTAACCAGATTGCTTGTATGTCAACAAACATACAATCTTTAAACCGATCTCATCAAACGGTGAAAAATACTGTGTTTTTTTTTAGGACTTCTTGCGTTTAACCATTCAAGAAGCGGTGATATATTTCCTGAGCAGATAACTCAACTCTTCATCAATCTAGACCGTTAGACAAAGGGGGCAGTTAACTTAATATGAACCCAGCGATCATAGAAAATAGAAGCTGGAGCAAGTGCAGTCAAAAAACACACTATCTCAATCAACTAAAACTTAAAAGCATAAACGTTTTTGGTACATCTAATGGTGGATGGGGGGAAATGGAATTTGAACCAAGGAATATATAATACTTGGAAAAGGGCTTAAATTACCATTAAGCTAAGAGTGACTCTACTGTGAGACCGCCTCACGAATCGTTATCCATGAGACGGGTCGAATCAAGATGGAAATGTAATACTTATACTGAAAAATGTAAATACTAATCAGGAATAAAGTGTTTGTTACTTAGGAGAAAGTGTAATACTTTTGACGAAAAATGTGATACTTATAAATCAAAAGTATTACACTTCCCCTTAAAAGTAAGGGAACACTTTATTCTTGATCAATATTACATTTTCATCTTGACCCGACGGTCCCGACCCGTCTGACGGACAAAGATCCATGAGACGGTCTCACATAAGTTTTTGCGTTAAGCTTAATATTGAGATCTAAACCCCAATTAAATGTGTGTCACACATTCACCAATTAACCACAGTGCCAACAAACATCCTATGCTCCTTTCGTGATGACAAATATAATTCTTTTTCTTCCTTTTTTCAATATAATAAGTAAATATTGGCAAGGGGCAAAATACATAACAGAATAAGAGCCATCCAAATACTATGTTCACTATGCACCAAATTCGTGTGAAATATATCTAACCAGATACAACAAGCATATCTGTATCAAATACCAATAGTCTATTAGCACTTTTCTCCTGTTAGAGTAAGTGTGAAATTGGATTCCCTGAACCCCTACAGACATGATGGAAAGAGCACACCAGGATAATTTTAATGGTAATTTTCTCCTGCTTACATATTTGATACAAAGCTATTCATCTACCCTCTATGTTAATCCTCACAACCAAGGAAAAAGCTAAGTCATGCAATGGCGTTTTTTTACTCTAAAGCTACAAAAAGCAACACAAACACATTAGCTAAAAACATGTCAGAGAAAGACTGTTTCTTGGTGGGTTACTAAATATAGCATCCATGTGCCTACAAGAGAATATGCAGGTAACATAATTGAGGGAAGGGGAAAACAAACACTATTGCTGATGACCTCTGCTGAAACTGAAATGGATTAGTAAATATAACTTCATGTTGATAGGAATCTAAAAGAGTTAATGCCATCTAGGGTCTTCAGAGTATAATGGTTTTGCCAAGTTCAGTCCTAAACTTTCAAGTTAACTACCCATGGTCCTTCAACTTTCAAATTTTAACTAGTCGTGGTCCTTTTGAAATGACCTTAATTGGTTAAAATTTGAAAGTTAAAAGACTACATATGGTTAACTTCAAAGTTGAAGGACCTTAGTTGGCTAAAATTGGAAAGTTGCAAGACGTTAATTTGAAAGTTTAGGACTAAACGTGGCAGATTCCCTGTACTCGGAGGCCTCATATGGCATTAACTTGCATACTCGAATCTAAAAATATAATTGATAAGTGTGCACAAATAGAATTCAAGGATTGTAGAGTTAGTTAAAAGATGAAGAAAGATAAGGTCTAAGAGAAACTAGTCAAACCATGACTAACCTTGTCATCCATGGTGACTTTGAGCTCCAAGTTCCTGGTTTTCTTCTTCATGTTAAACAACCTGCGACCCAAAATAACAAACCCCATCACAGCAGCAGCCACCGAGAAAGTCCAGACAGGACTAGCCCTGAACACACAGTATTTCAAAAGCTCAAAAGGTACCTTCCACCATACCACACTCCTTTTAACTTCTTCAGCTTTTCTTGGCTCACTTTCATCAACATTATTGCTTTCAATCGATTCAGTTTCCTGCTTTTTTTCTTCAACAAACTGTGACCTATCATCCGAATTTGCATCTCCTTCCACCCCCAACACCTTACTCTCTTCAAATTGCTCAATTTTCAACCCACCCAGTTCTATCCCACCAGAATCCGACCAGAAGTTCTTCCCGTTCCCACCTCCTATCTCCTCAATACCATCAAAACCCCCTCCAATTTTCTCTTTTTGGAGAAAACCCATTTCTCCTTTCCCCTCAAACTCCTCCAATTTCCGATCATCAGACCGATCACTGCCCGAGTCCGGCCAAGACTCACCGGAGTCCTTCCTCGGGTACCCAGTCTCCAACCCGGGATCAATCCAACTGGGATTGTCCGAGGCCTCTGAGCCCGCCTCGCTGCCATTAGTAGCGGCAACGGTACCCATATACCTCTCCGCAGAATCTATGGAGAAGTAATTGGCATGAACCATACCTTCAGAGTCGGCCCCAATTTCTTCAA